CTCGAGCTTTTTAATAAAAACTCGTTCTACCAAACGTGGCTTATTTGAATACAAGGAGCTTATAAACTAATCAAATAAGCTACAAGCTAGCTTATTGGTCTACCAAACATAACCTTATTGTTTGCTTTGGTGTTTTAGGTTTATTGTGGCAGAATCTCTCTCTCTCTCTCTCTCTCTCTCTCTCTAACTAATTTGTGATCTGCAAGTTGTATTTTAATTTTTGTGTTGTCTATTTGTCATCGTTTTTGCATATAAAGGAAAATTCTAGTCTATCAAAGTCTAGACCGTTGGATCAATAAACACCCGTAGATATGTGTGTGCGCGTGTGATCAGATGGTCCAAATACCTATATGAGCAGTACTCACATTGGTAGAGTCGAATTTACCGATTTTTAAATTTTTAAAAGAAAGCAAAAGTTGAAAGGGCAAAATTGCCCTTAATATCACGACATTTTTCAAAATTACATCTCAATTACGACATTTTTACCTTTGTAAATTATATCGCAATTTTTAGTTTGTTGTAGATCGGTGCACCGATTTGTATAACCCGTGCAAACTATATCACAATCTTCAGTTTATTCTTCGGCCACATTAGCTTTTTGAGGACTGATTTTCAGAATTCGTGCACCGATTTGCAACAAATTGAAGATTGTGATATAATTTGTAAAACTGAAAATGTCATTGATTAAGTTACAATTTTGAAGAATGCTGTAATTAGGCACTTTTTCCAAGTTAGAAGTGAATGTGATTTTACTCTAATTTTGGGTTTGATTTCCTATAGATCTTTTACTTTTAAGGAGTTGATTATGTGACAAATGGCTTCAAAAAAGTTTTCAAATGATGATACATTTGTCATAAATGCACAAACTTTTGTACTCATGTTTTGCAACATTTCACATTTGAAACAAATCAAATATGATGCATTTGACCCGACCCGAGTAATCCCCCAATATTCCAATAAATATGTTATTGCACAAAGGATTAAAATTACATTGTTGAAAAAGTCCGAGGGTTTGATTTTGACTCATCTGAGTTGACTCGAGAAAACTGCATGCAAATTATTTGATTTGTTTGAGTCAAACTAGTACGTACCCCGTGCAATGCACGGGACATAAATATTAAATGAATTATTTCCAGACGACTTTGTTCGTTTAAGTCTAAAAATCAATAGGGTTACCATATATTTTTCACTTGTATATTAGGGCTAGCTTGTAAAATAATAATATATTATCTATACATATTTAATTCTTTTTAATCGGTTATACATATTTATTTCTTAATTTGAAATTAAAAAATATTTGACCCGTTGAGTATTAAATCAACACTAATTAATTTATTAAGTAAGTGAAGACGCAAAGCAAGACAATTTAATTATCCAGCAATTTAGGGTAATATATAGTTATTTTCTTTTATTAAACATGATTTTTAAAAATAAAACAACATCAGCCCCAAATAATAGGCAACGTTCATGGTTTTGGTTGAAAACCAATATAACAAAATCTTTAATTAATGGGTAGCATTTAATGCTGCCTTTTTTATAAAAATAAAAAAGAAAAAGAAAAAGGAAAGTTACTAAGAATGGAATGTAATTAATGCAAAATGATTTTGACCAAAATTTGACCAGCTATTTTTGAAAAATGGTAAATTTTTTTTTATATATATATAGATTTGATCATATGTTATTTGATCTTATTTGAAATCGTGTAAATAAAAGCAATTAATGCATATATTTAAAAAATTTCCAAAAATAGTATGCATTAAATGATTCCTAAATTTTTGCTACTATTTTTAATAAATGGTAATTCTTTTTTATATAGATATAGATATAGATTGTGTAGGAGTTTGTTGGGACCAAGAAATGGTCTTGTGAAGCAAGAAATTACGTTAGTGATCAGGTCGGGTCGGGTCGGGTCGGGTCGGGTCTTTTCTTTTTATACAAATATGCATATTTTTCAATCAGGTTGATACGTCATAATTTTGGACGAGCTTCGTATTTTATGATGAGAAAAATCACTTTTATTTATATTTTATTGTTTACACACGCTTGGTAAATAAATATTATTGTCTAACCGTTACGTCTGATTAATAACCCACCAATTTTATGGTAGCCTTTTTTTTTCTTAGATTTTTTTTATTATTTTTTTTTTTGGTATTTGGAAGTTTGTGAAAAATCATTTACTTTCTGAAAATTATCAAACAAAAAAAATGAAAAAAAAAATACACTTTGTGACGTTCTGTATTATAGATTATGCTTCTAAATTAAATTTTGTGACATTTAATTTTGCTTTGCCCACTTAAAGGTAAACAAAAGAAAAATATGTTTGCAGACTTACTTTATTGGTAGGCCAGTAGTCTGCACAAGCTCTGAGGCTATCTGCATTATTCCCAAATTTAATTGCCTTGCTTGTTTTTTTTTTTTTTTTAAATAATTCATGACACATTAAATGCCAATCGACCAATCACAAATGACATAAATGCAGAATAAGAAAAAAAAAATAGAGAAATAGGAAAATAATCATATTCTTGGATCTTGTGATTGATTCACATATTTTTTTAAAAATAAAATAAAATGCATACTTATATATATATTTTTATTTATTTTTCTTAATAATATGTCAATTTTAAAGTATGTATATCTTTTGAAAGAATATGATTGTCTATTGTTTTTATAATATAATATATTTAATGTATACATGCATATTAAAAGAGTACAAACATTCTATGGAGTCATCTATAACTTAATACACTGACACATGTCCAATGTGTATTTATTGTAAAACATGTGTTAATGTACCCTTTTGTGAATAACTGTGGATGACTCCATAAATCGAGTCATCAAGTAACTTAATATAACATTTTTAATGTATACATGTATTAGTTAAAAAAGAGTATGATTGTAAGTCACTAAATTGTGTAATAGTCTATTGGAACATTATTAGTTTATTTTGCTTGGATGCATCTTCTTAAAGGTAGTTTATGTCTTTTCTTTTCTTATTTATGAATGAAATGAAATCCCTCCTATATATTAATCCAGAACGCGCTGAGCCTACGCGACTGCTTCTGTTGTTTCGAAATCCTATGTGGCAAAATTACATGCTTCGTTATTAGGTTTGGATAAATTTTAATTTAATTCCAAACAAAAAATAATTAGGTTCGGATTACCATAAATATGTTAATTATTTATGGTCATGTTACATGTATTAATTGCATTTTAATATCATTCCTTATTATAACTATTGAATTGTATATATATTTTAAAAGTTAATAATTTTTGTATTTTTTTATCATTTTTACATATGTAATATATCAAATTAATCTTCTTTTGATGAGCTTCAATTTAACATCAATATTGTATGTATATAAAAATTAATTTATATTTATCTTTAAAACAATAATAAAATTATTTTTAATATTAATTAAAAAAATATAATTATTTATCAACTAATATATTTATATTTCAAGTAGTTATATGATATAAGTTATAAAAACTAATATAATATAACAAATGTAAGTTATAAGTAGCACATATCATTCTAAAATATATAGTAATATATTTTTTTTTGTAAAAAAGTAAACTAAATTTAATACAGTTTTTCCATTAATTTTAAAATTTAATAATAATTTTTTAACAAACACTCGTATAATACACGGGTGTCGTACTAGTAAATAATAATAGAGAAGGCAGACTGCTGCTGGCCATGCAAATTATAGAGCATTGCATGAGTGCTAAATGGAGGCCCACAGATAATATTTACAAGTATATAACTAATATAGAAAAAAAAAAAAAATGGAGGCCCACAGATTATAGTTCGACACATCTCTTTATGGGCTCATGAAATTATAGGCCCACTTGGCTCATTTATCTCATATCTGGACAATTATTTTGGGCTTTAGTCCACCACAAGAGTCATAAAGATGATACACATACACATCCAAATAATTTGTTTTTCCCCATATATTCCATTTGCATACTTCTCTGTACCAAAAAAAAAAAAAAAA